ATAATGTTGGACTTGTGACCTCAGTGTAAACACAAAAAAATAACATAAAACTTTATTTTCAAGATTTTATTGTTTCTTTGTGAAATTTTCATTAGTTAAAAAGTTGATTTAGACTTATAAATGTTAATTTTATAATATTATTGTGTTGTTAATAAAAGCATGTTTATTACTGAACACAATTATAATTATTATTGTCTATTTCTATTACATCTTTCATATATTAATTTGTTTTAAATAAAAAAAAAATTATCCTTTATTCTCTTAAAAACTGAACTTTTGAGTTTATTAGCTATAGACTTGGAGGAACTATGGTCTAGAAGGCCGGTTACGAAAACAGAAACAGAAACTATTGAGATTGGGTGGATGGATTCAAAAGTGATATTTAAATTCTAAGGATAAAAATAATGAAAAAGTATAATGAGACATAGAAGGAAGAAGAGGTATGATAATTTTGGTGAAGCAGTTGAATAGCTTATATAAATGGGAAAAAGTAATATTAATGTTTATTTCAAAACCTAAACATATTTATTTAATTATTTGTTATTCCTACACTTAATAAAAATAATTTTAATTTAATTTTAAAAACAATAAATTATTTTATAAATTATGAGGCTTCAGTATAACATTATTATATTTATCATGAAATATTATAGAAATAGTATAATACTTCTTTGAATAACTATAAAGTATGAAAATAATTGTGAATTACGAGATGTAATTTTTGTATTTTATTATTAATTTTTTTATATGCCAAGTTAATTCAAGCACAAAAATATAGTTGAACAACGTAAGAATGATAAATAAATTACTAGACAGTTGTTAGAATAAAATTAAATAAACAATTGAGCAAATCATAGAACATGGGTTAGTTTTAGAATAATGTGCGACAAGCAGTAGTGTAATTGGGGGCCCGCAGACCCCACATTGCTGGGGAGCCCACGGTATTTTGGGGCCTTTAGTTAAAGTAAATTTAATTCCCATGAAAAAAAAATTGAATAATTGCTTTTTTTCAAATTTAATTAGTGTTAATCTAGATTTATAATAATCTATTATACGAAATATGTTCAGACCAGAGCGTTAAAGAAATGGAAGATGCAATAATGAAGTCTTTTGAAGTAAACAATATACAAATAAATAAATCTAGAGGTCAAAGATATGACAGGGCTAACGTAATGAGTGTCGTATACAATGGCTTGCAAAAATAAATTTGTGAAGGAAAACCGAATGCTGTTTGTGTTCATTGTGCCGCTAACAATTTAAATTTAGTACTGAAAGATGCAGTTTGCGTTCAACCGGTTCAGATATTTTTTAATAATATACAACAACTTTATACATTTTTTAGTTCAGGTATAAAAAGGTGGGATTTTCTTTTAAATATAAATTTAATACAAATAAAATTTGAAGCAATTATGATTGCAGATAAATGGAGCATAAATACATCCTTTTCGAAAAAAGAAACAGACAATCAAAAAATTTTTTTGACGAACACTGTAATGACCAATAATTAACCGATCCCGAAAATAATTTCAAAATCAATGTATTTAACATAAATATAGACATTAAAATTTCACAACTTCGTACACATTCTATAAGTATGAATAATATTGTGGATATGTTTAAATTAATTTTTCCCAAAAATGTAGCATTATACTCAGATACAGAACTGACCCATTTTGCTAATACTTAGTGAAAGAGTATTCAAATTATTTGTCTATATCAGCTATCAGATTTGTCTACAGTAAATACTTTTATTCAGAAGGATGCTATTTAACAATATAAAAGAAGTTTCTAGCATCAAAGAATTAGCTGAATTATTGATTGTTCAAAATAATTGCATGTTACCAAGTATTCCGGAAGTAGCCATCGTTTTAAAATTATTTCTTACTATACCAATAACATCAGCTACAGCAGAACGTTGGTTCTCTAAATTAAAACTTATTAAGATTTATTTAAGAATCATTATGGCAAAACAACGTTTATCAGATTTAAGTGTATCAAGTATTGAAAACGAAAGAATGCGCAGTTTAGACATAAATATGTTAGTTGATAAGTTTGCTCGGAAAAATATTAGAAGACTGACGGTTTTACGGGGGAGGGGGATAGGTGGATCGCCATCCCCTCTTGAGCTATGTAAAACTAAAAATATAAAGGTCTTATCGATAATTTTATGCCAAAACCGTTTACTGTTTAGAAAAGTGTTTGCTCTTATAGAAATTTGACTGTTTGAATTTGAAGTTTGAGTAAAAAATAATTTTTGTTTTAATTTTTTTATTGATACCTATATTTTTATGTTATGCCATTGTGGCATAAAGTTTATAGAACTTAAAATTATTTCTCATGTATCAAACAATAGAAAAAAATAAATAGGATATGTATGCAAATTGTAAATATATGCAAAATATTTTCGCCTCCCCCTTGTGGCTTTTCAAGAACTGCCACTGCTAGAAGATCGCAGAAATTTAAATAAAATAATTCAGTAAAATTTAGTTATATATACATTAAGTAATAATTGTGTAATATTAAATAAATAATGTTATTTTTTATCATATCATAACATCATTTGAATTAAAATAAGTGATTTACCTATATCAGATTATTTTTTTAAATTAATATACCTACCTAAACAAAATTTTAGGGGCTTATTTTTAATTTTTGCGAGGGGCCCAAATTTTTTTCTTATGCCACTGGTGACAAGGATGAATACGTGATAGGTATGGAAAGTATACAGTTGATTTGATGTTAGAGGTCGACGTTTGTAAGCTTTTTGGTCATTTACCCTGTTTAAGGCGACAATCAATTTAAATTATTTTACTCTTAATACATGATTTAATTAATAACAATTATTTGTTTAATGATTATTTCTAAAAATAATAAAGCTGATTGATTTATTCAGATTTGGATAGTAAAAAAATCGTAACATGTTTATTTATGTTTCTAAATTTTTTAAAAATATTTCAACCAAAAATATAAAAGCTATATTTAAATGTTATTTTTTAAAATATTGACGTTAAACTATATAATACTGATACTAAACGATTTTTGAAGACATTTTTATGATTTTCTATGAATCATTTCTACGAAATTACATTATTTAGTGGTATTAATAATTAATTACAACATTATAATTATTAAAATGATAATAATTAAGTTGGTGATGATATAATTTCTTACGTGGCCATGCGTAGTATATTTTTATATTATTTGGTAACTAATTTTTGCCTACACAATTTGTATTTTATAATTGAATGTACTACCTATACCTACCTGCCTGATTATATTATTGTTATTTTAAAGTTTAAATCGTTTTCCAATAGATATTTTTTAATACTATTTTGAATGATAGGACATAAGAGTATAACTTATAACTAATTATGTAATAATTAATTAAGAAGAAAAAGTCGTGTGATTAATTATTTTAATTTAATCACTTGATTTAAAAAACATGTCTCGTATTAAAATAAATAACTAAAATGTATTTGATAGTAACACACACTAATTTAATTTAAAAAGCACATAATTATAACACACCAGTGTAATGTGTAGTTGGGGGTAGTAAATACATTAATTTTTTTAAATTAAATCTATAAAATGGTAGTAAGATGAGCATAGGGAGTCTTTATGATAACTGAGATAATTGGAGTTATGAATGTAAAGTATAGATAATTATTTATGTAGAAATGTAAATATTTATAATGGGAGATAGAAATCATGGAGAGTATGTATTGTTAAAGAAGACAAATACTCACATGACCACTTACTATATAAAGTCGAGTTCTATGAATTCATAAAAATTGACAATTTTTAAAAGTAATAAACAATATTTAATCTTAAATAATTAATAATTTAAATGATTAAATCTGTTTTTATATTTTTTTAAGCTAAGAACTTTTTTATTTATATATATTTAATTTATTATAAATTAAATAAATAATTAATAATAAATAATAATAAATAGTAAATTTATTATATTTATAGAATCAATAAAATAAATTATCGTTTTATTCAATTTATCGTACTTGCTGATACAACTATAAGCCTACTACTGGGAGCATAAATTGTTGGTCGTACAAATGTCATGTAAAACAACATCTTCGTAAACGGTTTATATTTATTTATATTACCGTATTCTTTTTGAAGTATTCTTATTTTTTTATCTCAAAGAATTGGATATTTTTTCTTTGATATTATCCTTCTTTTGATTTCCCGGTTAGTGATTTACATCAAGTTTTATGAAAAAACACAGATTTTATTTCGGAAACAGATTATTTCATTGTTTTTTCTGTGCTAATATTGTTAGTATTGCGTTTAATGGTTATTTTGATATTAATAGGTATCATTATTAAAGCAAGCTATTTATATTTATTGGTTTGAAGAACTGAATGAATTTGTTGGATTTTATTGAAAGTCTATGAACAAGGCATGATGTGTCATATTTGTTAGCCATGTATAGGCAATTGATGCTGCGGTTTAGTTGCGTTTGACGTTTCTATACCTAGGATGAGTGACTATCCGAGTGCTTTAATGATGAATGTATGCATTCATAAGCACAAATAAATAGTATAATATAATTATCATATTATTTTTTTAAATTTAATAAATACATTTGATTTTATTACTATTTTTCTTTAAATGTCTTACCGTCTTAGTGTCTTTTAATCGATATAACTACTTATGTACCTGGTATATAGTTTTGTTAGAAGCTGTAATCACATTTTAACTTTTTAAATAATTTAATCATAAAATGCAATATTATTACAGGTTATTTAAAAAAATCTATTGGTATGTAATAAATAGAAAAACAGTACTTATATTTGTTGACACCTCTAAACATATTATATGATTTATTTCTTTAATTTTGAGTATTTTATATTTTATTGCAATTATAGTAGTATACTTCTAGGCCTTAAGACATAATGCATTGTTTGTTTTAACATAATGTATTTATACGTATTTGTATTATATTAATCTTGATTGTTTTTTTTCTGTTTTTGAAAAATTAGGTGGCTATTCGTGCATCTAGTTACTGATGGTTTAGATGACAAAATGCTTCAGAGATCACCCTCATCTAGAAAAAGACGTGCAATCAACAATGATACACGTCGGACAAGCGTCGCTTTCAATCTGGAAAATCAGTCGACGAGGCTTACGGAAGGCGGACGACAGCAGTCATCGCCACAACACAGTGGGCAACACAGAAGAGCTAGTATTGCGGCCACATCACCATCGGATGGTTTCGAAATGCGGCAACGGACTAGAATATCACCTGAGGAAGAATTCTTTGAATATACGCATAAACGAAGCCCCAGGCCAAGTTTTGTATCTGAAACTAAGGTACAGTACATCGACAAAAGTCCTAGAAACAGTCTGGTTCCAGAAATGTCACGAAGCCCGCGAGCCAGTTTGGTACCAGCTGACCACAGAAAACCACCGCGATTGTTACCAGAAGAACAACAAGATTCGTATACACGGTCTAGTCCGTCGAGGCTAGAAGTTGAAGTCAACCGGAGTCCAAGACATAGCCTCACGTGTGAGCACCCTGATCCAAGGAGTCCGAGGAGTCCAAGAGGCAGCATGGTGCCAGAAGATGATTATTCAGAATTGAGATCCGGATTGCGGCTAGACGTGGAGAGCTTTAACCGGAGTCCGAGGTCGAGTACAGCCGGCTTGGACACGGCAAGAAGTCCAAAAAATAGCTTAGTGCCGGAACCTAGTCGATCACCCAGAGGAAGCATAGCGTACGATTTAAATCGTAGTCCTCGAGGTAGTTTGGCAGTAACACCTGACACAAGCCGTAGTCCTAGGGGTAGCCTGATACCGGACCCCGGGAAAAGTCCTAGAGGTAGCGTAGCGTCAGAAGGTGCATATAATATGAGTCGGTCAGCTAGGAGTAGCATACCGATGGCTGATTCAGCTTCTTTGGGAAGAACTCCGAGAGGAAGCATTAGTTCAGTATCGTGTGTTCATTTTGATCCACAGTTGAAATCTACTCGAAATTCAAAGGAGCCGGGTAAGTTATTTTAAATAAAAATAAAATAAATATTCAAAAATCACTTTTTTTTTTTTTTTTAAATATATCGCAACATTAATGATCCATTTGACTATAAATATAAAATAAATATTATTTAAAAAATGAAAGAAAAACAAAATATTTATAACAATGCAATACCTAATTGTAAATTACAAAGTATCACGGGGAACAAAAAAAGAAAAAAAATATACTATGGTGAAATTTGTTAAAGAGAATTATCTTTTGTTTAACAATGATGATCATAAATTCTCAAAAATAATTCGCTAAATAGGAGTATTACTGTATAATTGAAAATATGAATAATTTTACAAATTATTTAAAATGTCTAAAAAAATAAATTTTAATTATAAAAATATGGTATCAAATTTAATTTTGATGAATAGTAAAATTTACTATAAAGTTAAATTAAAAATATTCGTAACATATTACTTCATTATTTTTCTTATGACTTTTAATAAAATATATGGCAATTAAAATATTAACTAAGCGAGGTATAGATAAGAACAATTGAACAATTTTTAAGGGGAAAGGGGCTTTATAATAATCTACTTACCTTCCATTACAGAATACAATTAATAAATATCAAACTATAGTAAAATAATTTCATGTTTATAAAAAAATAGTTCTGAATCTTAAGGAGGTTTAAACACGCCCCGGAGCACAATATTTCTTAATCCATCCCTGTACATTAGTCTAGTAATTATGAATATTTTCTAAAGCTGTATTTTGGTGTATAGAGTAAAAATAAATTAAGATTATTTGAAGTTGTAGAAATTAATTTGAAATTTACAACCTTGATAACATTCTAAAGTAGAAAATACAAATTAACGTAAAACATTAAAATAAACTTTCTAATTTTAAAATAATAAATTAAATTGTATTATATTTTGGAGAGTCTTCTTATATATTTAAATTAAATTTGATGATCTTGGAGTTTTGAAAGGATCAATTTTTGAATTCTCAATGCGTTTAATAAATTAAGATACATGTTTAATTTTTCTTATGTCAATTAGTATGATTTATAGTTTTACAAATACTAAATTAACGGAAGAAATCTTTAACCGTTGGGGCCTATGAGAAAGTTATATTACTACCTAAATAATAAAATTTATGATTTTATTTTGTATATAATTGAGTATATTACATCGGTATAATGTCACGACGTATAATATTATATATAGTTATTATATTTATAATTATATATTCCCGAGTATGTACGTGATGTTTTAAATGAAATGCGTTTTGTTCGTTTTCGATTCAATTAATTAAATATATCGCATTTAAAAGAAATTGCAATGTATTTTATGTGTAGATAACAATGTAACAGTATTACCTATGGCCATTACACGGTTGAACGATTTCCGGAAATGACGCGCACGTGTGTATTCGTATTATAGTCTTTACCGCAAGGATATCCGTTCACGTGGCTTCAGGTTTGCATTTTTATATGCAATGACTTAAGGGGCGTTTATAGGGGATATTAGTATTAGTTAATAAGCTCTTTTACTACGAAGTATAAAAAGAAACCGGAAACGAGTTATGATCAAATATAAAGAATACACGCCATTTTATAATCGGTTAATCTCTGTAAAGTTGTTTTCACTTTATTTATAAAAGAGCATATAAATTATATCATAATACTAGCTGGATAGATTTTTTTTTTTTTAACTTATAAGTGGCTACTATTGAATTTTTTTGCTTTCAGAATATTGGATTTCAAACTATACTAGACTTTAATATATATAATTATAATGGGAAGTTTTTAAATTAATAATTTTTACGTCATAACTGTCGTATTTGATAAGGTAGAGTGGAGAGGATATGCTTTCGCAAGGTATTTTCAAATGTATTGATTTTATTTTTAAGTAGGAAGCTTGCATTTTTTAGAAATATAGCTTTCATATGTTTTTCCTCAATACAATTTTAATATATGGTGAAAATATTCATTGAAAATACTATTTATAGAAAAACGTAACGTATGAAAATTATTAAGTATTTTGCATACAATATTATTTAACTATGTTGGAGTGAAAATCTGGTTGGGACGGTGTTTATTGACAAAAAGTTGTCATTTTACATGTTCAAATGTTATATGAACAATGATCAAAAATCTAATAGGAAAATGACCATTTATTATATGTTCCTGTATAGTTGAATATTTTGAAAGGTTTTGACAATGTAGGTAATTCACTAAATTTGTGCACTCCTTGTTTTATCATTAAGTTTTTTATTCTTTGATATTTTTCGTACCATTTGGATTTTTGCATTAAACGACCATAACCTAATACATTTCCTATAAACTATAGACATCGATAACTTATTACAAGTTTGATTATCATTTATCGTTGACTATTTGTCATCCATCCTATACGAATTGTTTCCATTTAAGTTTATATAAAACGCTACAAGATAGGAGGTATAAAATATTTATATAAAAAAAAATTATATTAATTACAGTTAGTTATACAGTTGCTCGTATATGATTTTGTATAACGTACAAGAAAAATAAATATTTTCTAAATTACATTTATTTTATGATACTATATCAAATATATATATATATAAATATATATAATTTGAAATTTTTACATTAGTATCACAAATAAAGTATTAAAAACTTAGGTAAATAACTACAAAATTTTTGTATACAATGTTATAAAATATATGTTTTTATATAAGTTCTAAATTACTTTTGTACAATAGGTTGGAAAATTTTATTGTTTTTATAATCTTAATTTGTGCATAATCCACATATTTGTCAAAAATGACGTAATTATAAACATTACAAAGACAGACTACAAATGGAACAAGTAATATGAATTCGTATTAGTTACCAATATGATTAGTGGTGTATAATTGTTCTTTGTATACATAAATTAAGTCAAAATATATTTAATGGTCTATCTTTTTGAGTAAAAACGATTATACCGATTTATACAACAATACCACAATAATGTATACAGTGGAAGAATAACATATATTGTAGTATACACAATATCTATATACTATTGTAACTTAGATATAAGCTAGAATTTGAAATGGAGTTTATTCACTTTATACACAATTGCAAATTGGTATTGACGAATCAGGGGATCAAACATGGTACTCAATAGTGTTCAATATGTGTTTTTCGAATTGTGTTATCGATTGTATATATTTTTGGTGGTAAATCGATGCAAGTCCTAATTATTTGAATTCTGATTACTTAGATCAAATTAAGCATATATTTATCTCGGAAGGTATCTTTTAACGCTTGCAAAAAATTTTCCTACAAAACAATACATATTAAATGATACGTATAGAGTATTTGTTATTATTAACTATTTGATAAGTTAAACCTTATTTCTGATGGTCTATAAATTTCAAAAATATTTTGAATTTCTAGAAAAATGAAAAAAAAATGTAACATATAAATTGGATACTTATGAGCGCTTCATTTATTCTGATTAGAATTTAGTGTACCATTAAGATTAGACTTAAGAAAGGATTATTAATTATTTTCATTAAAAATAAGTTTTATATTTTAATAACATGCGAATCTCTTAGGTCGGGTGAGATTACGGGGACAGAAGAATGATATTACTTTACTGGATTTATAAATTTGAAATCAATGTGGCATTACTCCCAAAAGATTTTGAACGAAAGAGATCGATAGATCAGATTATACTTCTAAAAATTGTTGGTATAGTAGTATAGAATTAAATTTCTTAATAAGGTAGATTGAATTTTTAATAATATAATTTTACAATAAAAAATCTGCAATATAAGAATTCTTTGAACATTTCAAGTCACTATGATTATTATTGTTAGAGTTACAATGAAAATAAAAATTCGATTTTCTGAAAATTAATATATCATCAATTTCACCGTTTTTTGTAATTGTTAAGAAAATGTTGGATAGTTCGTAAAATGATCCTTTAAAGTTTTAACTAACAACTATATAATATTTTTTATTATGGTTAAACCAATACATTCCTAGTTTTACTAGAGGTTAAAAAATAAAGGTGTTTAATTTACAGTGTAAATCATTCTATTAGGTCGTTACAATTGGACTTCATACAATATTTTTGAACACCTGCATAGTTTTTTTATCTTGTCTAGAGCCGAAATTAATAATGAATTATAATGGTATACATTATGATTTTATGTAGGTTAACTATTGCTCAATGAATTTATACATTTTATAACAGGCACTGAGTATAATTTTTTTGCAGGTAAAAGTTAACACTATATACAAAACAGATTAAGGTTTCTAGTATTTTTTTTATTATCTTGAACGTAAAATAAAATTTATTTAAATAATATTAGATTTTGAATATTTAATTCAATACTTATGAGATTATGATTTTGTATTTGATTACTTCAAATTTAAATCTAAAGATGAAGCAAAGAATTCATCTCGAAAAGATATAAAGATATATATACTCGGACTCTATTTAATAATTGTTCACTTGATTTCAGATAGATACTAGTAAACACAGTTTGATTAAAAAGAATTTTATGGTAAATTTTCTATAAGAAAATCTTGTTAATGTTTTCAGTTGTGCCAATTTTTTTCATCTCTTGTTTGTACCTTACTCCCTAGTGAGTTTTCATCATATGTAATTCGTGATTACAAATAGCTTGGCACTTATTTCTAAAGATTTACTCGTATATACCAATTTATTTTTATTTAACAGAAGACAACAATTATTACATTGCCCGCAGAGGTAGAGTTTACAAGAGTATTTTATTTTCACGAGTTGTTTAGAATCCTACGTGTGTGACGTTGTGGGGGTAAACAAAATATTTATTTATTTTAAACTATATAGATACTTCATATCTATATTTTTATTAAATTGATATATTTATGTTTTTTCAAACGTATTTCATAGTTTTATGAACGTTATTGTTCTCATGAAATGTATTTTATACGAGGCAATAAGTTATACATTTTTCATCTTAGTTTAGATGGGTGATATCAACCTTCAAAAATAATT